GTCATAAGGGCGCCCGCACAGACATGGCGCCCGCAACGACTCCAGCACGGCCCACAAGGAAGTTGCCGACTCAACCGGTCTTCAGAAGGAGGCCCATTAGCACGGGGAGTCCAGGACTCAGCCTCCGATGGGGTCAGGCCGGGTCCTCAACCTCACAAGGCCGCCCTGGGCCAGGGCTGTGCTGGGAACCTGGGGAACACTCATGTCCACCCCAGTTTGTAAGTCCCGAAATCCCGTGACACGACAAGTAGGTGGTGACAACGAGACTGTTGGCCCTCTGGGTGACCCTGATGGTGGGACGGTGTGCAAGACAGACGCAGACCCTCCACCTCTACTCTGGTACAGGCGGGTGCCGCCTGAGACCCTGCATCAGACAGCCACCTGCGCGGCAGAACCTGCGAGTCCCATGGGACTGACAACGTCATTCGGTAAACGAAAGCTGAAAGGGGTCCAGGGCAGCCGGGCTCTGGGGGAGCTCCTGCACACACCCCTGGCCCCGCTCCAGGACCAGGCGGCCTGGGAGCAGCTGGGGGCGGCATGTGTGAGGGGTGCGTGTTCCGACTGTGCCGTGCGCCCCTGTGGACGTCGCCACTCTGTGTCACATGCAGTGTGCACCCCGGCCACCCTGGGGCAAGGGCCCAAGCAGACGGGGCAGACTGCAGGTGGGGGCTGGGCCGGGGCCTGGGCTGACGCTCGCCACCCAGGAAGTTGTGTCTGGGGACCGCTGGCTGTTTTTCTTCATTTTGAGGCTCTGCATGCCCGTCCCCTGTGCCTGGGTTTGACCGTGTGCGGCTCCAGAGAACAAAATGCCCCTGACCTGTCCTTGGAGCACAGGAGGCCCTTCATGGGAGGGCAGAATGACCGGCATGGGGTGGCTTCCAGCCTCACAGTCGGCCCGGCTGTGACAAGCGAACACTCAAAGAGTGGAGTGGACGCGTGGCCAGCACAGTCCAGGCCAACGCTCCAGGGCACAGACCCGCAATGAGGAGCACAGTGCCCGAGGCCTCCCACGGGGTCTGGGTCTCCCGAGAGCTGACGGGCACGCTGGGCCCGCGGGAGCAGGAGGAAAGCTCAGACGTGTGTGCGCAGTGGCCTCGGCTGGGCTCAGCCTGAGCACAAGTGAGTGCCTGGCATCCCTCCACCCTCAGGTCCGGGTCTGCTCTTCCCTCACCCTTGGCCTGCGGTGCACTCCTGGGGCCCGGGATGTGCTCGGTCCCAGTTCTGCCACTCTGCTCACGTCTCCCTGGCTTGGCATCAGAGAGGGGCGGCCCTGGCACTGTGATGCCTTGTGCCACAAGGGGTGAGGACAGCAGGGGCCTCATCGCCTGCATGCGCCCCGCAGGGCTGCAACCAGGTTCAGGGGCCCTCCTTCGGGCTCCACACCCCAGGCCAGATCCAGGCTGCAGGTGGGCAGTGTTTGCAGGGAAGGGAACCGTGGAACCGGCTTCACAGCCGCCCCAGGGAGCATCTCCTGCTCCCAGGCTCCGGGAGGACTCGACTGGACTCCTTCCTTTGGCTGTGCCCCCCAGCCCAACCCCCCTGCCCCAGGGGAGGTCCCTGGCTTCTGCACTGGAGCCTGTTCACAGAGCAGCAGGCAGGGTGTCCAGGGAGTTGGGGCACACACTGTGCGGGGGAGATGCCAGTGTCTGCTCACACCTGGCTGGTGCTGTGCACACCTGTGCTCGAGTCTGGGCCTGAGCCCACTGCTGTGTGTGCTTCCAGAAGCCAGGGTCTGTTGGCGGCTGGGATGCTGTGTGGGAACAAGCATGTGTGTGCAACGAGTGTGCTGCCTCACAGCTCTGCGTCAGCTTCCCTCACACCTGTGCGGTCAGTGTGACCTGTGACTGCGGGCCTTTCTGAGTCGGGGTGGTCTAAGGTCTGCAGCCCACCCCCTGGGTCCCCCTGGACGAGCATAGGCAGGGGACAGGCCCCACTGCCCTGGGGTCTCAGGGACACCCTGCTTTCCTCCACCTCCCCTCTGGGCCTCTCTTGCTAGGGTCACCCTACATCTGGCGCTCAATAAATGATTGATTGGTCAGGAAATACATGGAAGCGGACTCTAGGGGTGCAGGTTGGAGAGGGGCGCTGGCAGGAACTCCAGCGTAGGGACAGGGTGCTGGCAGAGGCACCAACTGCGGACAGGGGATGGGTCAGCAGCGCCAGAGCGGGCGGTCAAGCCTGGCTGAGCCTGGGTTGGGGGCAGCAGGGTCGGCAGGCCGCCCCCGCGCTCCTCAGGGACGTCTCGGGTCACCGTTGTCTGCGCCGGGGCCGCGCCGCCCCCGGGTTATTTATGACGCCCTCCCCCTCCTGGCGGCGGGGGCGCTCCGGCCTCAGCCCGGCGGCGGCGGGGCCCCATGCGGGGGACCGCGAGCAGCGACGGCGCTGGCAGGCCAGGGGCGGAGCCTCCGCCGGCTGGGGGTGAAACAGTGGCTGCGCACCCCACCTGCTCTCTCTCACCCCCCCGCCCCCCCCCGTTTCCGGCCTGCCCCGCAGGGCGTGATTCCAGCGCCAAAACTGTCTCTCGAGCTTACAGCTCCAGTGCGAGAAGTGCAGAGCTACCTGCGGGGGCCCAGGCGCCGGGCCAGGACCCTGGCGGACTGGCGGGAGGAAGTGAGCAGGTCCTGGAGGGAGGGCATGACCACCATGGCTGAGTGGGAATGCCCGGTCCCGGTGGGAAGGTGGCTCAGACCCGGGAAGCTGAGGGGTCTGTTTCCCAAGAAGAGGAGGAAACATGTGGGGGTGAACTGCCCTGATCAGCTGAGGCCCTGGAAAGGGGTCTCCCGGGAGTCAGGGACTGGCCCTTGGAGGAGAGGGGCCCAGCAGGGAGTTTTGCACTCAGCCACGATCTTGAGCGAGGGACCCTGGTCCTCCAAGAGGTGGCACCCGATGCCGCATGGACGGTAGACGGGCTGAACTCGGTTGGCCCCACACCTTGCTAGCTGAACCTCTCCCCTGAAAGCCAGAGTTGAGGACCCCATGGGCCCCCTTAGCGACTGTGGGCCTGTGCTGAGGACAGTGTGAAAAGTGGGAAGGGAGGCCCCTCCACAGGATCAGGTGGGAGGAGAGACCTGACCGGACTGTGACGTGGTACCTCCTCAGGTCCAGAGGTGCCTGCCTCACCAGCCCTCCCTCCCCAAAGCACAGAGGAGGGAGGCTCGGGACAGGTGCAGGTGCACAGAGAAGAGCAGGGCGGAGGAGGCTGTGTCTCAGCAGTCAGACAGCCAGCGCTTTGACCTCCCACTGGGCCTCCAGCACACCCGACAGCCCCCACATTAACAGGGTGGCTCCTCTGGGGCCTTGGCTGTTGGGCAGGGACAGTCTCCTGCATCCATTAGACATGGAGGCCTCACACCTGAGAGCAAGACTCAAGCCCCAAAGGTGGCTGTGGGGAGACCCCCCATGATCACACTTTGGGTGAGGCTCGTGGAAGGGTTTGGGTTGCAGGTGGGGCAGAGGGGCCGCTCACAAGTGTCCCCAAATTCCCATCAGCAGACAGATGGGAACGTGAGGAAGCAGCAGCAGGGGCAGAGGTTGGGGTGCAATGACAGGTTAGTTCCTGGTTAGCGCCCAGACCTGGATCCGCAGGCTGGTCCTGGTGCCTCAGCTGAGGGTTAGGGGCCAGGCGTGTCAGCAAGGGAGCAGAATGGTCGCCAAGAGTCAGCCACCTGCCCAGCTGGGGCTGGCGCCTGGTAGGAGATGGATGGCGTTGGTGTGTCCCCTCACTCCCAGCGTGACCAGCTGGCCCTGCAGTGGGTGGTCAGGGAGAGGCCCATGCAGACGCAGCCCAGAGAGGCAGGGGTTGGGGCCTGGCTGCTGGGCTGGGATCTGAGGTTACTTGCTAGTTTGTCCAAAATGACACACCAGAGGAAGACAAGCCTAACAGAAAGACCAGCTACTGGCAGGTTTCTCTGCGTCTCTTTCTGCTTCTCCCAACCAAGGCCGGCCTACGGATGTGCAGGGAGGTGTGGCCGGATGGCGGGGGCACCTCATCCCTGCCCTCCCAAGGCACTGGGGTGGAGGTGGGCGTAGCAGGCCCTTCCTCCCCAGATGGGCTCTTGGTAGGCAACAGAGACGTGCTCCACGCACAGTCCCACACTCACCACCCCTTTCCGTCCCCACACCCCATCCCTCACCCAGACTGGGTCCCGCTCACTCTCCGGCCTGCACCAGGGCTCAGGTGCTTTAGCCCTGAAGTCAGATAGCCTTGGTGTGACAGCAGGAGCTCGACTTGACTTCTCCAGTCTCACCTTCCTCGTCTATAAAATGAGGAAAATAAGGAAATGACTTTGAGATGACCAAGTGAACCGAGGCATGTCAAGTTCATAGTAAGGCGGCATTAACCAACAGAATTGTTACTGTTATTCACAGAACACAAACCCTCCTCGGTACAATTGCCAACTCTACACACCACAAAGCCAGGGCCTCACACCTTGTAGGGGCAGAGGGCCCCGCCCAGGCCCTCCCCGCCACCGACAGGCACTGAGAAAACACTCCCACCCAGAGCTGCAGGCTCACATCCACACATCCATCGGGAAAGCAGGCGAGCTCAATCCCACATTCCCGTCCTCTGCCAGGACCCCCCTCAGGACCGGGCACCACTGCCCCACGTGGAGTCCCAGACTCCGGACAGCGGTGCCCCAACAGTAACTACTAACCGTGGCGCTTGCGTGCGCGCAGAGTCTCGCTAGCCCTCCCACCCCCACCCTGCCCCCACCCATGGTCGCCCTTCCTCCCGTCCCCGACCGCGGAGGAGTAGGGCACGGGGTGCAGCCCTGTCCCGCAGCCCCGCCGCCTGTGTGAGCCTGGTCGGCCGTCACACACCCCCTGTTGGAGCCCGCGCCCGCCCGCCCGCGGCGCCGGGGCCTTTTAAATGGGCCAAGTTGTGGTGGCGGCGGCGGCGGCGGCGGCGGGTCTCCCAAGTCCTCGCCCGGCGGGCGCGCGCCACAGTACGCGGGTGCGCGGCAGGAGCAGCGGGGCGGGGTGGGGGCCTGGGACCCCCGGGCTGGGCGGGGCGCGGGTCCGCAGACAGCAAGACTTATTGCCCCGCTCCACCCGGCAGACTGACCAGGGAGCGGGGGCGGGGTCGCCCTAGGGGGCGCGGGCGCAGGTGGCCCGGCGCCCCGAGGAGCCCTAGGGCCCTGGAGCTGCGGCGCTCGGCGAGTCGATCCGGGATCGGTAGCAGCTCTGGTAGCACCATGTCTCGGGCAGCGGAGGCCCTGCTAGCCGGCCGGGTAGCGGTTCCAGGGGGCCCGGCGGGAGGCGCAGCGTCAAGGCGCAGTAGCAGCTAGGGCGGGCTCGCCGCCAGGCGCCTCCTGGGTCCCCCGCCCTCGAGACCCAACTCCAGCCCGGGAACAAGTTGAGCTGGCGACGGGAAGCCGGGTTGCAGGACCACTGGCCCGCCATGCCGGCGGTCAAGAAGGAGCTCCCGGGCCGTGAAGACCTGGCCCTGGCTCTGGCCACTTTCCATCCGACTCTGGCGGCGCTGCCACTGCCGCCGCTGCCCGGCTACCTGGCGCCACTGCCTGCCGTGGCCGCGCTGCCTCCGGCAGCCTCGTTACCGGCCGCGACCGCTGGCTACGAGGCTCTCTTGGCTCCGCCGCTCCGCGCCTCGCGCGCCTACCTGAGCCTGCATGAGGCCGCCCCACACCTCCACCTGCCCCGGGACCCTCTGGCCCTCGAGCGCTTCTCGGCCACGGCGGCCGCGGCACCGGATTTCCAGCCGCTGCTGGACAACGGCGAGCCATGCATCGAGGTGGAGTGCGGCGCCAATCGCGCGCTGCTGTACGTGCGCAAACTCTGCCAGGGCAGCAAGGGTCCGTCCATCCGCCACCGCGGCGAGTGGCTTACACCCAACGAGTTCCAGTTTGTCAGCGGCCGCGAAACGGCCAAGGACTGGAAGCGCAGCATTCGCCACAAAGGTGCGCCCGCGGTGGGAGCACGGGCTGCTTCGGTCCCTCCCCTCCGCTCCCCGAGGACCCGTGGGCCCGGACCCCACTCCTTCCACCATCTGGGAAACTCCATCACCGCCCAGAGAGGGCGCTGTGACTCCGGGGCTGCAGCAGGAACACACACCCCCCGCCCCCCACCGCAGTACGGTCTCCTAGGTGGACCCAGGCAGAGCGCCCTCAGCCTCCACGATCCGCTCAGCCCCCGCCGCGGTCCCCCGGGCTGCCTGCGGCGTACTAGCTAGCCGCTCCTTCTGCTCCGAAGGTCTTTTCGGGATTCCTGGGCCTCGCTGCGCAGGGGAAGTTTACGGGAACTCGGAAGAGGAGGGGGAGGCAGGCTGGGCAGGACATTCCCCTCACTCCAGCACCCGGACGCGGAGCCCAGGGCTCTGGAGGGAGGGGAGAGGCACACGTGCGCCCGGGGCACTGGTGCGCGCTGCTGGAGAGCAGGGCGAGGCGTAGGGGTGGCGCAGGCAGGTGGGGGCCGCGGGGCCGCGCGTTAGGGCGGGGACGCGCAGAGCAGCAGCGGCGGCCGAGCTGGGAGCAGCCTGTTGGGCTCCCTCAGGAGTCTGACTCCAAGGGCGCAACGGGCGGGCGTCTACTCGGGCAAACAGAGAAACGCGGTGAGAGGGGGTGGGAGACGTTAGAAAGTTAGGGACCCGGTAGCGTTAGACTTTGGAGTTCATGGCTTTTTAATGGCTGCCCTCTTCTCACTCTGGGGTCAGGCGCAGCCCTAGGCCCTGGCTGCGCTGCTGACTTGCCCGGGGGCTCGATCTGCTTCAGCCCTTAGCTTGGGGGTTCCCGCGGACGGGTTTGGAGAGGGTGGAACTGGAGAAAATGGGGGCGGGGGGGAAGGGGCGGAGGAGGCTGCCCTTGGTCTGGGGAGGGCGCTCGCCCGGGTCATCAGTTTCTGAGCTCAGCAAATCTTTACGGGGTCCGCGATGGTGGGCTGGGCGGCGGGTTCCCAAGTTGGACTGAGGTGGGCATTCACACTCGTGAGGGGGGGGTCCGGCCCCGCTGCCTACTGCGGCCCGGAAGTGTGCTCCAGTGCCGCCCGTCCACTCACGGGTCCTGCCTCGGGCTCTCCTCGCAGGGAAAAGTCTGAAGACGCTTATGTCCAAGGGGATTCTGCAGGTGCACCCTCCGATCTGCGACTGTCCGGGCTGTCGAATATCCTCCCCGGTGGTGAGATGTGGGAGAAGGTTGGGGCTTCCGGGTCTTTTCTCTCCCATGTGGAGCGTATGCGTATTTTGTAGGGTCCAGAACCCTAACGTCAACTGTGCCAGGGTGAAGGAGGGAGCCCCAGGGGCAAATAGGGGCGATTTTGCTGCGGGGGGGAATCCTGGGGCAGCTGGAGCCCCTGCCCCTTCGGATCTGGCCTCTCCTGAAGCTTTTCCTTGGGAGCCTTGGAGGTGCTTCTCCCGAGGTTCCGGAACAACCCAGGGTGTGAAGGTTCCTCCCTGGAGTGTGTTTTCCACTGGCCTGGGGACTCTGCCCGTCACCAGCTTGGGGGGGGGGGCACCATGTCATTTGGCCCAGCTTGGAAGAGAGGGGCCAGCCCTAGGGCAGTGCTCATTCTGGGTGCGGCAGTGCTGGTTGGCCCCATGCGTGTTCTGGGTGCTTATAAGCTTGGATGTGAGTGATGTGCCTCTTTGGGGTTCCCCTGGCTGCACCCTGCTGGGCAAGACCCTGGATGATCAGGACCAGGACCGTCTGGGGCAGCTTCTGTGCTGGGCAGATCCTTGGTACTCAGAGGACAGGTCGGTTGGAGGCTGCTGTGGCCCAAGCCCCGTGTGGACACCTATGGAGCCCCCCCCACCGCCCCACCACCCCACCGCTGTGGCCCAGGAGAGCAGGAGCAACAGCACTGTGCCCGCCACAGCGCACGGCCTCCTGGTAGTGGTGCACCATCGATCTGAACGGGAAATCGCATCTGGAGAGGAACCAGTTTGGAGCCCCTGGGGGAGCCACTTGGAGCCAGGCTGTGAGCTGGTGGGCAGTGCGCTCTGAGGGCTCCACTGCCAGCCCCCTCTCGTAGGAAGGGGTGGGCCTCGGGGGTGCCTGGGAGGACCCAGGGCCCCTGGTCCTCACCTTTGGCTCGTTCTCTTTGGAGCAGGGGTAGGGCAGGGGAGGGGATGTCCTGGATTCCTCTTGGGCCCTGGCAGCAGGTGACCTAGGCAAGCCGGGAGGCCACAGACACACCTGTGAAGGTAGACGTGAGGTCAGATGCAGCTGTTGGGCAGGGGAGGGGGGCTCAGCTCTGTGCCCACTGCGCGCAGTGTCTGACGTGAACGCCTCGCCACGGGCCTGCCCGTACTCGGAAGCTCCGGACCGAGTGAGTGCGCAGGCAGGGCCTGCCTGCGGCCAGAGAGTGAGCTTGAGACCCACCTCTGCACCCTCTCAAGCAGCTGGTGCCAAGGACGAGTCCTCCCGGTGCCCTCCACGCTGGCCCAGAGTTTGCTTTTGGGTTCAAGGATGGGGTCACAGTCCAGGGCCGCCTGCCTGCCCGGGGCTCCCTGCTCCCTGCCTTACATGAGCGATGGCCCAGACCTGGGCCTGCCTCCCCTGAGCCTGGTCCTTCCCAGGCCTGGCCCTGTACCCTGTCCTTGGGAAGGAGCTCCATAGAATCCCTTCTCTTTCCAGCCCCCCTTTTTCCACACAGAGCCTGCCTTCCCCCACCCCCAAGGCCAGGCCCTCGGGTGTGGGCACGCTGCACAGACACAGGCCGTCCAGGCGCACAGGGTGGGTGTGCACGTGGCACAAGGGTCACGCAGCCACGCAAGCGGCTACACTCACTGCCTGGGGCGCCAGTCTGCGGGCGGACGCTCAGCCCCCAGTTCTCAAACCCGTGCTGCTGAGCAGGGCTGAGGTCTCCAGTGTGCATGGGAGGCATGGGTGTCCCCTGTCCTTGGTCTGGGTCATGGCTGCCCACCCTGGTTCCCCTTCTGAGCGCCCCCCACTGGAGCAACCCAGCCAGCATCACTGGCCTGGCCTCATCCCAAGCAGCCGTCTTAGCCGCCGCCACTTCCCTCTCCTTCCTGTCCCACAGATGAGACACGGAGGGCCATGTGTCCCTTTTCTAGAGTAGGTTTAATTTGAGCAGAACAGCCGGAGAGGCTGTTCTGGTGTTTGGGCTACAGCAGGCTAGAGAAGGGCAGAGCTGAGTGGGACTTCCCAGCAGAGTGCACTCCAGACAGGTGGGGGCTGTTCCAAATGAGGTAGTCACCCCCGCCACCCTTGTCCAGGCTCTGCTGTCGGGGTGCAGCCCTGGGCCGAGGCCAGCAGGCCTTGGTCTTGCAGGCTGCACCCCCGCAGGCCCAGCTGTGGTCTCGCTGACCGCCGCAGGGAGGAGCCTGGAGAGTGTCCCGGGGAGACTCCCAAGGCCAGGGATGGAGGAGACCGAGTGGCTCAGCGTCTGGAGGTGACGGCGGCCTGGGTCTGACAAGAACCCTCGCACTGTAGGGCAGGACTCTGGGGGCTGCAGAGCTGGCCTTTAGGTCTAGGGTGGGGCAAGGCCCCTCCTTGACACTGTGCTCTGAAAGCTCCGGCGTGTGGTGGGGTCTTGTCATCCTGGCGACAGAATAGAGGGTCAGTGGAGGCCTTGGGACTGAAAAGATGAAAATCGGATCATCCAAGGCCTCTGTCCCCTCCCCGAGCCAGGAACCTACTATTAAGAAAGGAAAAGCTCCCAGCCCACCAGAGAGCGGTCACTGGCTTCTCCGCTTCCCCCGGGTGCGGGACCTGAACTCCAGGGCAGTGCCATGGTATGTAGGAAACAGGCTGCGAGTGTGGCGAGCTCTGAGCAGGACCGGGTCGGTGTGGAGTGCCACGTGTGCCCGTTCCCCTGGCCCCAGTGCCCACAGCTCGGCGCTTGTGAGTCTGGCCTTCGTACCACGGGCACAGAGGTGGGGAGGTGGGCCCACGGGGAAGCTGGGTCTCTCAGGGCTCCCGGGCTCCAGGCTCTGGGCTGCTCAGGGCTCCTGGCCAGGTAATTGGTGAGCCCCAGGCCCCAGGCTGCAGACCCCCTGGGATCTGGGTCTCAGCTGGGGGTTCACAGAGTTCGAGTCGGGCTGCCAGGGGGACAGGTGAGCCCTCTAGGCTTGGAGGAGCTGGGGAAGCAGGGTCCGTCTCCAGGTGGCCTCCCCGCACTCAGGCTGATGGCTCTGGACGGCTGGGCAGGAGTGTGGAGCCTGGACAAGGCCTTGTCTCCTGCCCTTGGCCTCTGGTCAGTTGTGGCTTCTGCCAACCCCGGAGGCAGGAGACCCCCTCCACGCCTGGCGAGGGCGGTGGGGAGCATGGGCTGGTGACTGTGTCTTCTCGGTCTCAGCGAGGCTGCTGTCGCTGGGTCCGGCCTGGGGTGCAAGCCACACGGGGGGCTGAGGCCCTAACTTCCTCTCTTCTCACTTTGCCCAGAACCGGGGGCGGCTGGCAGACAAGCGGACAGTCGCCCTGCCCCCTGCTCAAGTGCTGAAGAAAGAACTGACCCCTAGCTTCTCAGCCAGTGATGGCGACAGCGACGGGAGTGGGTCGGCCTGTGGGCAGCGGCCAGGCTTGAAGCAGGAGGACGACCCACACGTCCGTATCATGAAGAGAAGGTGCTTCCGCTGAGGCCATGGGCGCGGTGGGCGCACGGGCGCAGGTGCGGGCGGGACTTCGGGGCGGGTCTCCAGGCAGCGGAAGGCCAGCGCAGGCCTGGAGGGGAGTCCTTTGCCCGAGTTTGGCTTGTTGTGCTTCATCCGAAACAAAGCCTGGAGCCCAGGGACACACACCAGCCCCTCCGCTGCACAGCGAGAGCCCCCTCCCCCCGCCTGAGAGCCAGGACTGGATCGGCATGACTGGGGGCAGGGACCCCCGTGGTGGTTCCTGCCATGACCGTCCTGGGGAGGGACAGAGCTGCTGGGTGTGAGGCAGGAAGGAGGGGGGCTCGGCCCATGGCTGGGAGGACAGGTACCAGGGAGACTCGGGCGCCGGTGGGGGTGAAGGCGAGGCCCAGGGAGCTGGGCTAGTGCCCAGCAGCAGCCCCCAGACACTCGTGACTTGGAAGGTAGCAGATCTGCTGGGGGCTCCCTGTTGCGTTGCAGGCTGGGGCCCTCCTTCCTGACCTCCCACCTCTCCCCCCACCCCCGTGTCAGAGAACTTCCTCTGGCTACTCATCTTGGTGTCTGTGCGTCCATCTCTCTGCCCATCCAGCACATGTGACGCGCTCCCAAAATTCCTAGGCCTTTACCATTTTCCAGGCTCTCCTACCCCGATAGCCCCCGGCTCCCACCACCCGGCCCAGAGCCACTCCTGCCGACAAGAAGCAGCCCAAGGCCCTCAGGTCTTCGCAGGGACCCTACCGTGGCAGGCGCGTGGGCACCAGGCAGAGCCCTTTGCTCGCCTGACCCTGCCACCTCGCCTGCCTCGGCCATGTAGTGGTCACCTTTGGAACGCCAGTTGGCAACAGCTGGGACCCCAGGGCCCCCGTGCCTGGGCTGACACCCCAGCCATGGGTCCTCGTCACCGGCCTCATGTCTTGGCCTGGTCCCAGCCCAGCCGGGGCAGCTCTAACCACCAGGAATTTGGGTTTGGTCACCTGAGTGGCCTGCAGAGGAAGCAGCAGCCCCCACCACTGCACAGCGTGAGGGCCCCTCTGGGCCCCGGTTGGAGACACGGTGGCCTCAGCTCTGTGCTGCCTTTGTGTGGTGAGGTCAGGAGCTGGCTGCCGCCCGAGGGCCTAGCCTGGTGGCCGCTGGAGGCGGTCGAACTCATACCAGATGGCGCTGGAGACAGGTCTGAGCCAGCTCTGTTCCTCTGAGGCTGGTGCTCCAGGGCGGGGGGGGGGGCACGCCGCACAGACGCCCCGGCCCCACTGTCCAGGTGCCCGGTGCCAAGGCCAAGCTGACTCTGCCCCTCCCTTTGCAGAGTCCACACCCACTGGGACGTGAACATCTCCTTCCGAGAGACGTCCTGCAGGTGGGTCAGCGCCTAGACCGGGCTTCCCCCATATGATGCGTCTGCTTCTAAATCCCCTGGCCTCCTACCCTTCCTCCCCTCCTTTGTCTATGGTCCGTCTGTCTGTCAGTCTGTTGACACAAGCCTGGGCCTTGGCATCAGCACGGGAGGGGGGATGCTGGGCAGACCGACTCGGGAGCCTGGGTGTGCTCCCCTCCCACGTGGCACTGGCCGTGTGAGCCCATCTGCCCGAAGAAGAGGGCACGACCTCCCCCTCCCACAGGCCCCCCCCAGGCGGTGAAGGTGGCGATGTGCGAGTGTGGTCTTGAAGGATGCATAGGAGTTTGCCAGGGACGGGTGTCTGTAAAGACACTGAGAAATGAGAGACAGACAGGTGGGAGGGGCGGCCTGCCAGTCTGGCGTGAGTGGACGCTGAACAGCCTTGGACGCAGGGGCTCTTGGGCCTGGAACCCCGGGCAGTTGGGAGCCACCCAAAGCTCTTGAGCAGCAGAGTGACCAGGTGCGTGTTTTGGGAAGGTCCCTCTGGAAGCCCCGCCCAGTAGGTGGGGGTTTGCTGAGCCCACGGTAATTTAAGACTGTGGAAGCAGGGTGGAGGGAGAGAAAGGGGAGGTGAGGCACACTGGGGCGACACAGGTTTCCCGTTCCAGAGGGGCAGGGGTGGTCAGTCTGTGGGCAGAGCCCAGGCTGCAGCTTCTGGGGAGGCGGCGGGAAGGGCCAGCAGGCGGCGAGCATCCCGCTGGTTCTCGGCTGCCCCCACTCCCAGCCCGGCTCTGTGCGAGGCATGTTAGTGCTTCTCTCTGTGAGATGGTTCGGCCCTAGAGCCAGGTTACGGCGAGAACAGCCTCAAACTCACTTCCACCTCGTGTCGAAGGGGTCCGCTCGGCTGATCGCAGTTACGAACCCCCGTGGACACTGGTGTCGCTTTGTGAGGCTTCCTCTTGGGAAGCTCCAAGACAGAGTCATCTGTGAGGCCTGTAGGGGACCCAGGGGCTCTCCCTGCCGGGCCGGACTCTGCCTGCAGCCCCTCAGGAAGCAGGAGAGGGTTGGGGGTGTCCGGGCACAGGCCCTAGAAGCTGCTGGGGTGATTTCCTGGGTCAAGGCAGAGGGTTCATGGGGGGCGTGGCTAAGAGGACCTTCTCCTCTGCCCCACCCCCGGCCCCCCTGCAGCTGGGCTACCTCACACTGTCCACCTGCTTTGTCCCTGTCCCTCTGTCCTTCTGTCTCCAGGCTCCTGTCTGCCCTCAGGCTCTGTCCGTCTGTCTGATAACACCACGATCGCTTTGTCACTCTCCATCTGTCTGTTCATCTGACTGTCATCTGTCTTTATCCGTCTGTCCCTCTGCCCATCTGACTCCACAGTGGTCCAGTCCATGCATGGGGCAGTAGGCAGACGTGGCCCCTGGCCTGCGGGAGACCCTGAGCTGGCCAGGAGATGGGAGGGGGGCTGGAAGTGTGATGGTCGCTGAGGGCCCAGGGTCCCTCCGGAAGGGTTGGGGTCCGAGGAGTCCTTCTTCCTTCGGCCCCCAGCACACCCTCCCCCACAGCCATCCTCTCCTGAGTGTTTTCATGGCTTCGAGAGAGGACCTCGGGCCCAGGCTCCAGGCACAGGGTTCACCAGTTACCAGCCAAGCATGTGTGTGGTTCCTTTGTGGTTTTTACGTGGCATCGTTTGTTCACTGAGTGACCACAGCAGGTTTTCCAGGACAGGGACAGGCTGTCTTGGGGCCTGTGGGACAAATCCCAAGGCAGAGAGCCGGACGTCCTGGTTCCCACTAGGCCTCCCCTCAGCCCCGGCCGGAGCGTGGGAGAGCCGGTGGCTGCAGTGGGGGCAGGATCAACCAGGGCCCTGGCTCACCTGCTCAGTCACCTGCAGGAGCCCTGGGGACCCAGACAGGGGTCCCCTCAAGGGCACACTCTAGACAGCCTTGGCCCTGCCTCTAGGCCCCAGCCCCCGGCCTTGCTGTTGGGGCAGCAGCTTGCCCTCCGCCTCCCCCCGCAGAGTTGACGAGGCTGAGAGATCAGGTGGACTGGCAGCAAACTAGTCCCCTGAAGACCCCCCCCACTCCACCCACCCCCGGGCTGCACGGGGCACTCACTCTCCCGGGGGGGCTGCCCCAGCCCTGGTGTCTTTGCTGCTGAGACTGATCTGCTTAGGGGCCAGCCCTGGATTAGCCTGCTCCAGCCGCCCGGGCCCAGGGGGTGGGGGCTATTTAATGGGGCTTAGGGTTGGTTCCCAGGTCACACCGTGGAAGTCCCGCTGCAGTGGCCCAGCCCCGAGGCTGCTGTCACAGGTGGGCCAGGGAGTGAGGGAGCTGGGGGGGCTGGTCCCCTGCTGTGTCTCCTCTGCCCTGTCCTAACTTCCTGCTGCTTCAGGCGTCCTCTGCCAGGGGGCCAGGGCCCTTCTCCGCCAGTGAACGAGTGGGTGTCGTCCTGGGGGCCTTCACTTCCTCTTCTCTCCGGGTTCTGTGACGCAGGGTGGAGCTGATGCAGCAGGAACAGAAACGAGGGGACAGAAGAGTTAACTACGTTTCTACTCCAATCCCCCTGATTCGCGCCCAGTCCGGCCCGTGGCGTGTCTGCGAGTCCACAGGGCTGCAGCCCCCGGGAGTGTGTGTGTGCCCCCGTGTGTGGTGAGCGTGCGTCTCCTTGGCTCCTGGACTTGGCTCTGACCCTTGGTTTCCTCATTTGAAGACAGTGGGGTCCGTGGCTGGTGGAAAGTTTCAGGTAGAACGGCACGGGCGGCGATCTCGCCGTAGCGGCCGGCCGGCGCAGCTGTGAGCACTGCCCACCTGCGTCAGTGTGTCTGCTCGGGACTCCCGGGGCGGCGCACCACCCGGTGGGAGCCCGGCTGCCCCCGAGAGGGCACGGAGAGGCAGCGCCGACCCTCCTCTGTGCAGACCCTCCAGGAGCAGCCCTGGGGGCTAAGAGCAAGTCCTCTGCCTGGCAGACACTCAGCAGGTGCCCGCTGCCCTGGGTGGGAACCGCCCCGGGGACATTCCCCGGTGGTGTCCCCCGCCACACTCAGATGCTGTCCCCTAGAGTCACACTTGCCCACGCTTAGGCTCTGCCAGGCACTGCTCGTGCCCAAGGCTGGGCACCCGGCCTCACGGGCTCTCGCCTTCCCTCTCTCGATCGCTGCAGCCAAGACAGTGACCTCCCCACTCTCATATCCAGCCTGCACCGCAGCAGCCACCTCGTGATGCCCGAGCACCAGAGCCGCTGCGAGTTCCAGGGAGGCGGCGTGGAGATAGGCCTGGGCAGCGCAGGTGAGGAGCCTGGGGGCCAGGACCGGGTGGGGGCCGGGGCTGCAGCAGCTGGGCGGGAGCACTGCCCGGTCTGCCCTCCCAGTGTCTGCTCAGCGGCTCTGGACGCCGCCCCCAGCATCCTTGGCAGGCGGCCAGGGAGGCCAGCAGAGGAGGCGGGAGGTGGCGGGGCCGGCTGTCCCCCGGGGCTCCAAGTGATGGTAATTGTGTTAATCCCGGCCAGCCGGGCAGACGGGGGCGGAGGCGGCGGCTCCACAGTGGCTGCTGCTGGGGTGGGCTTTCAGTGGCCCAGGCTGCTGTCACCCCTGCTCACAGGGGCAGCCGCAGGACGGTCATGGGTACGCAGGCCTCGCAGACGCCCAGAAACGCCTGAGTGCGACAGAGCACCCACCCACCTGGCAGAGCACAGGGGGCCCCTCTGAGGGGCAGCTTGAGGACCTGGGCCCTCCTCGAGGATGTGGCGGCAGGGAGTGGGGACAGTCCAGCTTCAGCGGAGGCCTTGCTGTCCCAGGAGCCCTGGGCGGGAGATGGGCGGCACCCTGTGCCCCCTAGGCCTGCCTGAGCCTAGGAAGGCCCTGTGGGTGGGGGTGGGGGTGGGGGCTGCTTCTGGAGCCCAGTTGGAGGCAGCTGAGCAGGCAGCTGATAAAATCTAATTGCCCCATCGATCGGCGCAGCCCCGGGAGCCCCGCAATGATTGAGATATTCGGAGCCAGTGGGCCCTCCCCTGCTGTCTGCACCCTGCCCCCAGCCACAGGCTGTGCCTGGCCCTCTGCACGCACGGTGGCCCTGTCAGGATGTCCTCGTGCTCAGTCCGTGCTGAGATCACACTTGAAGTGTCACCTGCACCCTGGGGCCAGGTTTCATCAGGGTCGCGACCTCTCCTCAGGGCCGTAGTTCCCCTTGGCCTCCCCGTTGCTCCTGTGGCCCTGGTGTGGGGCCATCGGCCTGTGCTCACCTGGGCCTCCCCAGGGGCCACGTGCCAGTCCGGCCCCACAGCCCTGGCCCCTGAGCAGGAGCAGGAAGGTCAGGAGGACTGAGGACCCAGGTGGGTCCGGGCAGCGCCTTGTGACTGTGTCTACTCCTGGCTGCCCGGCACGTCCCTGTGTGGGGTGACCCTCACCTAGGACGAGTCACCACAGGGCCCCTGTCAGGGCCTGGCTGCAGCCACTGCTCTGGGTTTCCCTAGCGGCCAGCCCCTCTCACCCCCAACAGAAAGGGGAAGGGGGTTCCCAGGGTGGAAAATGGGATGCGGGTTTCCAGGGAGCCCCGGGTTGTTTGCTAACCCTTAAGGGCATATGCAGAGTGGGGGTGGACCGGCCCAGACCTACCCAGGCCTGGCACGAGGGGTCCTCGGGCCCCCCTGCACCGGCCCCCCTGCACCCGGCCCCGAGGCCACCGGGCTGTCAGCGTCCACTGGGACTTCCTCGGGGCCTCACGCTGGTTGTGCCCCCATCCTACCAGCCCCTAAGGTAGGGGTGGGGCAGGCCCGGGCCGAGCCTCAGGCCAGTGGCAGCAAGGTGGCCAAGATCAATAAGTTATTAGCACCATTCTGTCAGCTGTAAAGTGGAGATTGATCGCGCGGCACTTCCCGGGCTGATAAAAATGACAGATTAAGGGAACAAGGAAAAGGAATTAGGCTCCAGAGCTAATGGCAGTGCCCCCTCACTGAGGTGTCATGGTGGCCTTGGGTCACAGAGGGGGCAGCTCCTGCACCCCAACACTGGCGGGCCCAGGAGAGCAGGGCCAAGCTGTTCAGCAGAGCCCAGACCTTGGCACTGGCCTGTCACCGGGGGCCCGGGACTGGGATGGAGTGGCCGGCTCAGGGATGTGGATGAGTGTGGTTGGGACCTGAGACAGAACTTCAAGGAATGGTGGGGCAGGGCTGGCCATGCGTGTGGGGGGCAGGGGTGCTAAGCACAGCGGGTAAGGCTGCCCAGGGCACGCTCAGCAGCTCAGAGCCCACCGGGCAGGTGGGCAGGTGTGTGACATCGGGGGGCAGCGAGAGGTGTGGCCTGGTGGGAGGGCCTGGGGTACTGCGTACAGCAGGTGCCCCATACCTCGGGGGGCCTCAAGGTGGCCTTTGAGGTGACTCTGTTGTCCCCCAGGTGACCTGTTGGGCAAGAGGCTGGGCCGCTCCCCCCATATCAGCACCGATTGCCCCTTGGAGAAGAAGGCTCGAAGCAAGTCCCCCCAAGGTGGGAGCCTACGGGAAGGGGGGACCAGGTCAGGGGACAGGGAGGGCAGGCCAGCCCACCAGCCAGTTCTGAGTGCAGAGGCTGGGCCTGAGGAAGGCATCTGCGGAAGACCCCTCCCCATGTGCCTCCCCCAAAGCAGAGACTCTGTTACTGCCGGAGCTGGGGCCCAGCATGGCCCCGGAGGGTCACTACCGCAGGCTGGTGTCTGCACTGAGTGAGGCCGGCACCTTCGAGGACCCGCAGCATCTCTACCACCTGGGCCTCCCCAGCCATGGTATGTTCCCCCAACCAAGGGCCCACTTGCGTGTGCTGGGCTCCCCCCGAGAAGAAACCCTGGGGCCCGTGGCTGCCGACAGCAAGGCTGGGCTTGGGCGCAGGTCCGTCGGCCCCTCGGCCCCCACAGGCAAGCTCCCGGTGGGTGGGCAGGGACTCAACTCTCTTCCTCCCGCCCTAAGCAGCCCCCACCAAAGGGCCCCCTGTGCCTCCACCCCCACCTTTTCCCACACAGCAGGGCCACCCCCCTGTCACCAGGTGCAGGTACTGTCACTTCACAGGTGAGGACACAGTCTCAGCGTGAGCGGAGTGGGGCTGATGCCCTGCACCTGGGACTGGGCCCTGCAGCCCTCCCACGCCAGCTCCAGGGTGTGACAGGGTCAAGCACCTCCAGGGACCCTGCGGGAGGCCCCAGGGGATGGGGTCAGTCAGCCCTAGAGCACCCGGAAGGCAGGATGAGCAGCAGTTGGGATTGGCCACCAGGACCCCCTTGGCAGTGAGAAGCGCAGCTGGAGGCCCCATCCCTGCCCCACCCTGCCCCTCCCTGCTCCCCACCGGGTGTACCGCTCAGCCGTCTGCACATCCCACCTGTCCCGGAGGCTTGGAAGTCCCACCCACCACCTCAAGGCCACACTTCGGTGCCCCGCCCAGCTGCACCCCGACCTTGCAGGCCCCAGCCCCGTCTGAGGGAGCTTGGTTTTTCTGGTTAGAGGTGGGTGAGGGGGCGCTGGGAAAGGGGGCAGGATTTCCTTCCCTCCTCACACAAGGCACCGTCCCCCAGGGCAGTCAGGCACCGAGAGCCTGAATTATTCACCAAATGTTAATAATTTAAAAATCTTCCTTTTTAATTGCTTTCCTTGCCCTGCCTGGGGCCGGCTCTGCCGGCCTGCGCGGGGGAGGGGGCGCCGGCCGCCGGGGAGCAGCGCCGGGAGCTGGGCTGTCAATCACGGCCCCGCGCCGCCACCCCCGCTGCGGAGCCGACTGTAAATAACCTAGGCCGCTGGCGCGCGCGGGGGCGCGGGGGCCCCGCTGGGATCGATGCAGGCGGCCGCGCCGGCTGGGCTCTGCGGGCTGGCACCCGGCCCGGGCAGGACCCACCTCCGCTTTTCGGGTAATTAATTTATAAACAGGCGGCGGCGGGGGCTTGCACAAATGGGGGACCGCGGGGGGACTCGGAGGCCCGGCCCTGAGCAGGCTGGAGGGAGTCGGATGGGCAGCAGAGCGCATCAGAGCACGGATGGAGTGCGCACCTCCTGCCACCTCGGAGCCTGTCGCCTGGGCAGCCTCCAACCTGGACTCTGGTCTCACTGCCCAGCCCCCTCCCCTCGGGGCTCCCGTAGCCTTAGTCTCCACGCCTTCGGAGCTCTCGACACCAACCTTCACGCACCAGCAGCTGCCCCTGCCTGCTGGGTTTCCCCTCCTTCCCACCGCATGTCGCTCTCACATCGGGATGTCCCTTTCAGATGCTCCTCTGGCCCCCCCTCCTGAGACAGATGGGTGCCTCCCGCCCCCACCCCAGCGTCCTCTAGCTCATTCCCCTCCAGTGATGTGTTCTGTGTCCTTCTGTGTCTATCCCAGCAGACAACCAGCAGCATCAGTGTGAGGGTGGCCTCTTGCTGGTCCTGGGCTTCTTGGTGCCCTTGGCCAGTGCCCTGTGCTTTCCAGGGTGGGGAGAGTCAGAGCCCCGGAGGGAGCCTGGCCTCGGGTCACTGCTGTTGTCTTCTCCCCCCACTCCAGATCTCCTGAGGGTCCGGCAGGAGGTGGCTGCAGCAGCTGCGAGGAGCCCCGGGGGCCTGGAAGCCCACCTGCCCTCATCCACACCAGGTCAACGTCGGAAGCAGGGCCCTGCTCCAGCTGGTGCCCCGTCTTTCTCAGAGAGGTACTGGGGCCTGCCTCTCAGAGAGGCGCCCGCATTCACCACGCTTGCCTCTGGGGTGTGGAGACTCACTGCCTGGTCTCTGCAGGTCAGGCCCACACTCGTCAGCCACTCTGATTTCACACTCCCCACTCCCACCCCAGCCGCACCCTGTGGGCACCAACTGTGCCGGGGCCTGGGCTGGCAGTGCAGAAGAGACTCGAGTCTCCCCCTGGACTGGGGAGAGGCCCAGGAAAATAATCCTGGGGTAGAATGCCTGGAGGCGACTTCCTCTCTGGCTGGAGTGTTAAGGGCGAGATTCCCTTTTCACTGAGCAGCTGTGGGGCCCGCTGAATCCAGGTGCCCCGAGACAACTGAGGGCTTTGCCTCCCGGACAGGTAGGTGAGGGTGGTTGATGCAGAGTAGGGGAGTCCACGGGGAGGGTGGTGTAGAAGGCGCAGAAGGCAAAAGAGGGGAGCGGCCAGAGCTCTGGAGACCGGGAGTCAGAGGCCCCTGCCCCCAGCAGACTCGGGAGAATTTCTGGCGTCATACACCGGCCTGTGGCGGCTGGGAGACCCCAAGAAGGGGCGGGGGCTGGTAGAGCGGCCGAGACTGAGGAGTGAGCGAGTTAGGGGCGGGAAAAGCTGTAACGGCTCTCCGCCTCTGCTGCCGACCGCCACAGCACGCCCCCCCCCTCCGAATAACGCTGCGACCCCCGCCCCAGAGCGCTGTCTGCAGCCGCTTCCCGGATCGCAGCTAATTGCGCCCCGCCCCCGGCCGCGCAGGGTCCGGGGGTAGACGGGGAGGCGGGGGTCCCGGCGCGCCCCGCAGTAATTACCGCTGCAGTCGCCGCCGCCCGCCGGGTCAGCGCCTCCGCGCCGCCGCCGAGATTAATTGGCGCCGCCAGCGGGGACCGGGGGTGGGGAGAGGCGGGCGGGGGCGGCGCTCGACCCGAAGCTGAACGAGCGGCGCTTCGACCGCCCGCGGGGCCGGCAATTAGCTGTGGCGGCCTGAGTGGGGGTTAGGGGTGGGGCGGGCGGCACTCACCACCCTGCTGTCCACAGGGAACTGTCACAGCCGGCCCCCTTGCTGTCGCCCCAGAATGCCCCGCACATCGCCCTGGGCCCCCACCTCAGGCCTCCCTTTCTGGGGGTGCCCTCGGCTCTGTGCCAGACTCCAGGTGAGGAGAGCCCTTTGTGTCCTTGGGAAACTCATGCGTGCGGGGGCCACCCGGGGTCTGCCTGTGTCTGGCTGGTGCCCACGAGTGTTCCCGTAGGACCCGCCCCTGCCAAGGACAGACGGCCCGGGGAGGGGGAGCTTGGGTGGTGTCGGACCGCTGGGCCACTTGGCTTCGTGGTCTCACCCTCCCCACCAGGTTTCGGCTTCCTGCCCTCTGCCCAGGCGGAGATGCTCGCCCGGCAGCAGGAGCTCTTACGGAAGCAGAACCTGGCCCGGTAGGTGACGCGGTGATGGGAGGGGGAGGTGGCGGCACCACCGAGCTGGCTGACCCTCTGTCCCCTGAATGCCCGGTCCAGATTGGAGCTGTCGGCGGAGCTGCTGCGTCACAAGGAACTGGAGGGCGCACCCCGGCCACAGCTGCTGGCGCCGGAGGCCACGCTGCGCCCGCCCAATGGCGCCGAGGAGCCGCAGCGGCGCGGGGCCATGCTGGTGCTGAGGCACAGCTCTGTGCCGGCTCCGGGTCTGCCGCCGCAGGGACCCCCGGGCCCGGGCCCTCCCACCCCGCCCCGGGAGCCCGCCCGCCGAGCCCCTCGAAAGGGGGGCTCCAGCCCTGCCTCAGCCCCACCCAGTGAGCCCAAAGAGATTGCTGGGACTGGGCTCTGGGTTCAAGATGGGTCTGAAGATGAGCCCCCCAAGGACTCAGATGGAGAGGATCCTGAGATGGTGGCTGTTGGAGGCCAGGGCCCCGCCTCTGGTCCAGGCCTGACTGCAGGGGCCAGCTCAGAGGGGAAGGGGCTTCTCTCAGGGTCCATGCTGCCCCCTCCGCTGCCCCTGGGCTTGCCCTACGTCAGCCCCTACTTCCACACAGGTGGGCACCCCCCAGGCTTCAGATCCCTCCGTGGGGGAGGACACCAGGGCCCAACTCCCCCTTGGGCTCTCCAAGGGAAGGAAACCCTGTTAGTGCTGAGCCAACAGCTCTAAAGAGGGCAAAGGTCAGCAGACGGGCGGGAGCCTGGGAAGAGGCCCCCAAGTCCCAGGGATGGTAACACCTGCTCTCAACCAGGAACCACGGGGGGCCTCTTCACGGACGGGGAGGAAGCTGTGGCCCCCGAGGACGTCAGCAAGTGGACAGTGGATGACGTCTGCAGCTTCGTGGGGGGCCTGTCTGGCTGTGGTGAATATGCACCGGTAAGGGGGACACCTGCTCAGCAAGGCCCCCAGCTCCCACCCCCCTCCTGAGGGTGGGGGGCACTGCTGCGTGGCCCCACCCCCACACCAGTGCAAGGCCTTCCACAGAGCGCATGTGCCCAGAAAACTGCACGGGCAGCCCCTCTCGTCTCTGGTCTCTCTGGGCAGCCAGCCCACACCAGCACGACTGGGCCAGGGGACCAACCCCACAGGGTCCTGGGTGGCACAGTTCTGCACAAGGTCCTGACGGGTGCCCACCCCACACCAGGTCTTCCGAGAGCAGGGCATTGATGGGGAGACCCTGCCCCTGCTGACTGAGGAGCACCTCCTCACCACCATGGGGCTGAAGCTGGGGCCCGCTCTCAAAATCCGGGCACAGGTGAGTGCCACAGGGGAGGAGGCGTGTCTCCACAAGGGACAGGCTTCCTGGCTGCAGACGCCCACCCAGGCCCATCTCTCCGCAGGTGGCCAAGCGCCTGGGCAGAGTCTTCTACATGGCCAGCTTCCCTGTGGCTCTGCCGCTGCAGCCACCAACCCTTCGGGCCCCAGAGCGGGAGCCCGCCTCAGGGGAGCAGCCCCCGTCCCCAGCAGTGGCCCCCTCACCCTATGGGGCAGGGCATCCCGCTGCCAGCCGAGCCTCCCCAGAGCCAGAGAGTGGGGCGGTGGCTCTGCTCCCCGGGCCTGTGGATCCCTCCCAGCCCCTGTGCTGAGTTGGGGGTGGGCTGCTCAGGCCCCTGCCCACCAGTGCCAGCTGCTGCCAAGCAAAGGCTCCTCCCCCACAACTTATTTTCCTTTGGTTTTGGAAGCAAAAACACAAGTTTTGAAAGGAAAATACGTGACTTAAGAGGAAAGGAATGTTTCCAAAGAGACTGGGGGTGACGGCTGAGCCCAGTGCAGAATCCGAGTCTGGGCGCCACAGAGAAACCAAAGACGCGCGGCTGCGCAGGCCCCGGCCCGGCTCCCTCTGGACCTGGGGCTGCCGGGAGGGTTGCCGGGACCCTGACCTTAGGCAAGAGGGGCCTGCCGCCCTGGGGGCTGCAGTGGGCAGGCTCCACAGTGCAGGTGTCAGTCCCCAAGGACGCCACTCCAGGGATCAGCACAGCACTTAATACTTTCTGGTATTTTATGTTGTAAAAATAAAGCTCCATCCAGAATCTACTGTTCTCCCCGCTGTATGGGCACTGACCCAGAGCCTCTGGGCAGCTGCAGCCCCTGCAGCCCTGGGCAGTGGCCCTCAGTCCTCCTCCGAGAGCTGTAGGTCCTGCAGCTCATCCTCCGGCCCCTGGGCCAGCAGCCGCCACAGCTCCTGGGGGGCCGGCCCCGCCTCTTTCCCTGGGCCTCCGTCTGCAGGGAGACACAGAGGCTACATAAATTCTGCTTCATCAGGAGGAAGCTGGCCTTGGGGGTTGCTCATCACTAATTAATCAACACTAATTAATTTATCGGTGGTGCTGCTGCTGCTGGCTTCCAGAGCCAGCAGGATGGAGCAGCTGGTCTGGCATTCCCCAGGGAGGAGAGGAGCCTTGGGCCCCAGAGACACAGCACCCTCCCCCCAGGACCCCTCACCCTCTGAGCTGCTGGTCTCTTCTGGGCCACCGCTGCTGCTGCTGCTGTCCTCTTCATCCTCTACCTCCTGCTGAGTTCCAGGGGACTCAGATGCACCTGGGGACCAAGGGGAAGAGCCTGTGGGAGTGGGCCACCAACACTTGTGGGGCGACAGCTGGGCTCATGGCCCCGCCCCCACCCTCGAGTAGAGAGGACTCAGATCAGCCTTGGGGGCGGGGCGTCCAACGTCAAAGCCAGCAAAGTGGCAAACAGGAGCTGAGGTGGGAGTGGGCACCCCTCCTTTGGCTCCTGGAGGTGCAACAGACACCTTCCAGGCCGCCTGCACACCCCCGGGAGCTCGTGCCGAGGTGCGCAGGCCCCCACCTCTCTCTGAGAAGCCTGCAGCTTCATCGTCATCACTGTCCAAGTCAAAGAGGTCCTTGAATTCAACCCTGTCCTCATTCTTCTTGTCCCCCAGCTTCCGCCGCTTTATCTCAGGAAAGTTCAAGTCTTCTAGCTGGAAGGCCCCAGAACAGGAGTAGCAGGTGAGGTTGTGGAGGGAGCCCCAGGCGCGCAGCCGAGGCCACAGCCACGGCCACGGCCACGGGAGCACCACCGGGAAGCACCCTCAGGCCCAGAGACAGGCTCCACCCAAACTCAGTTGGTCCCTCCCCTCCCCCACCCGAAACCCCAGCCATAGGCTGGCCTTCGAGTGCCATCAAAGTCACAGCCACATCCTTCAGGGCAGCCACAGCCCCACCACCAACTACCTCCCCTTGCACATACCCCCTCCCCAGCCCATCTCGACGCTGCAGCCAAGGGGCTGGGTCCTCCTCTCAGATCAACACACTGGGTGTGCCCAGGCCCCGACACCCCCCGCCCCCCGCCAGCCCGCACCCGCTCTTTGCCGCTGATCTCCAACTGGATCTCTCGGTCCCTCAGCTTCCGCCACTGGCTGTAGTACTTAGTGAGCGGAGTCCCCTCCTCTCGGGTCTGCTTCTCCCAGGCATCCTGTGGGGAGAGGGTCAGGGTCACATCCCACCCAGGCGAACCCCAGACCCCAGCCGCACACTGACCAGTGCCCTCTCCACTGACCACCGCTTGCCGGTTGGCCACACTGAAGGAGGCCCTCTGGCGGAGGCTGCAGATGTACTCGGAGTTCTCCTGCACCTTCTCCAGCAGCTGGCGCACCTGCCGGCAGTAGTTGGCCACCTTGCACTCTCGGAGGAAGGACTTCAGCTGCAGGAGGAAGAGGGGCTCAGCCAGCCCCTCACAGGGCCACTGTGCATGAAGCACCAACCCACACCCCAAATGTGCTGATTGGGGCGGGGGAGGGGGACCCACGGAGCCTCAGGGCACGTGCCTGTGGGTTTTTGACTCAGAAGAATCGAGCAGTTGTGGGAACCACGGGACTGCAAAGCCTAAAATGCCACCTGGCTCGTCACCAAAATAACTTGCTGGTCCCCGGGACTTTGAGCCCAGCAACAGGTCTGCGCACACGCACCTGTGTCTGGATGGGCCTGAGCCACAGGCTGCTGGGTGTGAGCAGCCCTCTCTGCACAGGGCCGCGAGGAGACAGGCAGTGCCCCTCCCATGAGGCCCAGGCCTCCCTGAGATGGGGAACACCAAGGCGAAAGCCAATGGACCCCATCAGAGGGGCACAGATGCCCCCCACGCTCGCCTGAAGGAAAACTGAAGCGGCTGAGGCGGCCTGACCTGTGCACGACCCCCAGGACCACCTGGGGAGCACTCACTCAGGACACCGGCTGACCCAGGGCTAGGGTCCTCAGGGAGCCCTCACACGTGGGTCCCCTGGCACAGCCCTGGGGGAGGGCAGCACAGGGCCAGGCACCACCACTGGCTCTCAGGCTGAGACAGGCTGCCTTCCCGTGGCCCCCGGGCGAGTGGGGGCTGAGGCCATGAGGACAGCGCAGTCTGCCTCACCACCGGCCGTGGAGGGCTGTGGGCAGGGCAGGGAGGGGCAGCACACACACACCTGCAGGACGGCGGGCAGGGCCAGCTCAGGGAAGGCGATGCTGTGGGCCTGGCTGTGCAGGTGCTCCAGGGTGAGGTCGTAGAGCTGCTCCACCAGGCCGTCCTGTGCACGGGCGGAGGGCAAGGCGCGAGGACAGGCGCTCAGACCGCTTCCATCACAGGGCGACACGTCAGCTCCCTCCCAGGGCGGGCCCAGAGGTCGGGACCCCACTGCCTCCCTGGAAGCTGTACTCGGGTCACTGGGCCTGGGGCCCTGAGTGTCACCTCCCCGACCCTGGGAGCCCACAAGGGTGCGTGCTGAAACACCGCAGGGTGGCAAGCTCCTCCGGTTCACAAGCGTCTCGCCTCCAGTCACCCTGAATGCCGACCTCAGTGCCCTCTGACATGCTGCCCACCCGGGGCATTCTCTAGGTCCCTGCCTGGAAGCCAGCCTCACCCGGTAAGCCTTCTCCTGCAGGTTGACCTTGGACAGCTTCAGGATCACAGCAAAGTTGATGGGCTTGGAGCTCATGCGCCCCGGCTTCCTGTTGAAGTCGACCTGCTGGAAAACCTGCACCCGCCGGTGGCTGCGTCGGCCCAGGCAGCAGCCCCACACCCCCTGCACTGCCCCCCTCCTGCCCGTCCTTGACGCCCCAGCATGACAGGGGGGTTGGGGGCAATGCAGTGCCAGACCTGCAGCCTCACACACAGCCTGCCCCAAGAGTCTGCCTGTCCAGAGCCCTGGTGCCCCAAGGGAGCCCCTCCTTCCGAGTGGGGCCCTGGCCAACGGGCAGGGCCAGGAGCACTGGCACCCACACTGCCACTGACCCTCCTGAACACTGAGCCACAGAGACACCAGGACGTGCCTGGAGACAAAGAGTCCCTCCTGTATAGGTCCACTGTCACGCACCACCCTCACCCACGCTCACAGCCCCAAGGCCTGGGGCTGCCGGCCCAGGGCTGCACCCCCTGGAGTGACACCCTGAGAGGCACAGGTCTCAGTGGTGGCTCTGCCGTCAGTATTAGCCATGGCCTCTGGGAGGAGGCCTCCCCCCAGTCTGGAGGCGACAGGCAGCCCATGGAGCACAGTGGGTGCCTGGACTCTCAGCCACCCACTTCTCCCCATGACCCTCCAAGGGGGAGATTCATGGTGAATCCCCGAGGGGGATGGGAGTCCGAGGCTGGGGAGGCACCCCTGGGGGAGGCACCGCTGACGGGAGACTCAGAGCTGAGACCAGGTCAGCATGACAGTGATGTCAACAGAGTCCCTGGGACGGCTCAGCCCAAGGGGGGCCCGACCTTCCACACAGGGCTCCTCTCAACCCCCTTTCCCAGGGAAGGAGGGGCCGAAGCCCCCTGGAGGCAGAGAGCTCGACTTCCATCTCTGTGGCCTGTTTGCTCTGGAGAGGGGAGGTCTGCACCCGAGTGACAGGGATGTGCGGGGGCGGCTGTGGAGAGTGGAGGCTCAGTGCAAACGAGACAGAGGAGAGCAGAGGCCGAGGGCAGAGGGGGCAGCAGGCAGAGGTGCCGAGCTGGCCACGGGGGACTTTAGCAGAGCTTGGTGGGGGTCACTCTGCAAACACAAGCCTGTGCCGCCCTGTCTCAGGGTGCTGAGCAAGAAGGCCCCTGGGGCCCCCTCCCTGCCCCCTGTGCTTTGGGGCCACCACAAGGCCCCCCTTCCTCGTGCCTTCCACAGGGCACAGCTCTGAGCTGCCTGGTGGATGGCACAAAGGCACCTCTGCTGGAGGGTGAGTTCCCGAGTCTCCTGGGTTGGGCCTGTCAGTGGGTTTCTGAACTTTGGACCATAGCCCTTCTCCCCACACCCGAGCTACCTGAACGTGAGGACACACAGACGCACACGAGCGTGTACATGGGGACATGCCGAGGGCGGATGCAGCCTCGGACTCAGACCTGGAACTCTGGCCCGGACCTCCCACTCGCCCCTCACCCTGGGCAGATGCCCCAAACCAGCGCCCTCAGGCCCACCTCACAGGGCAGCTTCCTGGTCCTCATGCTGCTCCCACCAACCAACGCGAGCCACCAGCCTGGGCAGCCTGGGCGGCCCCAGCAAGGCCCGCCAGTACCCCACACGTGCAGGCGAGGCTCCCCACCACGCCCGCCGCTCACCTCGAGAACGAAGGGCAGCACGGGGACGAAGGTGCCGGTGCCCTCAGAGAGCAGCGTCAGGGCGCGCACACAGTGAAAGCGCAGCGGGTAGAAGCGTGCAGTGGGGACCAGCCTGGGAGCAGGGGGACGGAGTGAGAGGACCCCGCAGACCGGCCTCACTCTCCCGCTGTCGTCCTCCCTTCTCCATGGGGTCCCGGCCTCAGCAGGGGCCCTCCCTGTCCCCTCTCCTGGGGCCAGAGGCCATGCCTGCCCCCAGGCTCCTGAGAGCAGGGCAAGATGAGGCCCTCAGGACCCGCCTCCTTGCTCAGCCTCGGAGCTCAGGGGACACCCAGCAGCTTTAACCTGGGTTCATTTGTGGGGGGGGGGTCCCTGCTCTCAGGGCTCCCCCGTCAGGGGACAGGGCCGCCCCCTCCTGGCCAACGACTGCCAGGCTGGGTGCGGCTCCCCCACTCCCTGCTGAGACAGCCACAGCCAGGCTCAACACCAGACCGGACCCGACCTGCTCCATCCCG